CCCGACAGCATCCAGTCTGCAGTGATGATGGAGGAGCAGGGCGTTCCCAGGGACTGATGACCCTGCCTGGGGGTGACAGCAGGCTGAGGGCTAACCCAGGTCATCACTCACCCTGTGCCGGAGCCCCACGCGGCGCCCTTCACTGCTGCCTGCAGGCTGAGTGCTTAAGAATCAAATCTCGGAGATCTGTTCTCGTCTTCCATGCAGCTTCCTCCTGCTGGATGCTTTGAGACCAGGGAACAGGTGACCAGGAGCTGGCCTGTGTCTGCTCTCGTGGACAGCTCTGTGGGGCAGGCCTATCTCCCGTGGGAGGGATATGACAGCAGGTGTAGGTGGAGGCACTTGATGGCCCTGCTTTGACCCTTTGGAAAAGGAAGGGCTTACCATTCACATCTCACATATGGGGAAACTGAGGCCCCAAAGCAATCCGTGCCGTGCCCCATATTAACCAGCAAGTCAGGCTGCAGCAGAGCACTCCCTGGGAACCGGAGAGCCCTGCCTCCCAGGCCAGAGTCTTCCTGAGCTATGTGACCTTGGGCAAGTTACCTGAAGTCTCTAAGCTTCATCTATAAGTTGGGACTTTGCTAATAGCAGTTAAGTCACAGGGCTTTGGGGAAGAATCAGTGAATAATGCACAGTAACTGGTTTGCATGGAGCCTGGCATGAAATAGGTGTTCAATAAATGTTACGTTATTATTATTATTATTATTACAGCAGAAGACAGCTTTTAATTCTGCATCCTCTGCCTCTGCCTGTGTTGTCACAAGATTCCAAATGTTACTCAGCAGTACAGCCCCCTCTCTGGGTTTAGAGGGAGCTGAGAGCCAGGGAAGGGTTAAAGTGGACGTAAGGGGTGGCCATGGGATGGGGCATTGAGGTGCCATGTCTTTCTCCCATTCCCAACACCCTCTGTGACCTTGGACCAGTCTCTCTCTCTTTCTCTCTCTCTCTCCTCTGGCCCTTTGTTCTTGATGCATCCAAACGACAGTGCTGGCTGCTCAAACGCTGCAGTGAGAGCCGACCTGAAGAGGCCAGGAGCGCCCCAAAACCACATGTGCTCCTGGGAGACCACGGATGCTCTCCTCACAGCCCCAGCCTGGGAGGCAGCCTGGCAGGAAGTCTCCTGGGAGTTGCAGAGCCCACGGCTGCCCCCCCACTGGGTGGCCCCTGCCCCTGGCAGGCACCCTCCCACACTCTCCACCCATGCTCGGCCCCAGGGAGGCAGAGAACCCGTTAGCGGAGGCCCCTCCTGCCCCCCTACTCCGCACTCTCTGCAGAGCTGGCTTGGCTCCGTCAAAAGCAGGGCCCATCAGGGTGGAGGCGGCGATGTGTCAGCTGGTATTCAGGCTCTGGTTGTGCGCTCAGATCGCTCCCCCTCCCCATCTCCCCAAATCCACCCACCCACCCCTTTACCCACTGCTTGGGGCCTTCTGGGTGGCGGCACTTCAGCGGGAGAGACAGGGGAGCAGCCCGAGCCCTTGGCTGCCGGGGGTGGGGGAACTGACTCACTTGGCCCGCTCCCTGGTGCCGATGGGGCAGCCCCCACGCCCATGGGCGCTGGCACCCCGTCAGGAGCCTAGGTTTTGGAAAAGGAAGCTGCAGCCCCGCCGCGCCTGACCCGAGCGGGCCGAGGATGCGCTCTGGGCGCAGGGACCCGCTGGCCCCCGGGTGGCGAGGAGATGCTTAGGCAGCGACCCCCAGAGCCTGCTGGGGCCGCCCTGGCCGCGGACCCGCCGGGACGCCCCTGCTCGCCGCGCCCCTCCCCGGGGCCGAGGCGCGTCCCCCAGTCTCGCAGTATTTCCTTCCTGCACCTTTAAGAAGACCGTTGCTCCGTGGTGGGATGGTGTGTTAAAGCCACACAGAGGAAGTTACGCAGCCCGGATCAGACCGAGAGATAAAAGCCCCGATGGTGATCGTGAGTGATGGCAAGAGGATTTAGCCTCGGCATTAACTTGGAGCGGAGTGCAGGGGGGCAGTGACGCGCCCGCCATCTGGCCCGCGCCGAGCCGGGGGGGATGCCCCGGCTCCCCGACGAGCGGCCGCGAAGCCCACCCGGGCCGGGGGCTCCCCTGCGCCCGCGCACGGGTCCTCCCGGAGCCGCCCAGGGGGCCCAAAAAGTTTGCACTTGTTAGCGGCGACCTCCGGCCCGGCCCGGGCGGGCGATGCGGGCGGCGCGGGCGGCCCCCTCCCCCGGCCCGCGTCTCCGGGACGGCTGCGGGCGGCCCCCCCGGCGGCCGGAGGGCTCCCCAGCCCCGATCTGACGGCGGCGGCGGCGGCCACAGCGGCGGCGGCGGCGGGCGCAGCGCGGGGACGGAGCGGCGGCTCGCAGCCCTCGGCCTCGCCCGCCCGGAGCCGGCCGGAGGGTGGCGGTCCTCGGCCTCGCGGTGCCCGCTCCGGGAGCTGCTCCGAGCCGGGTAAGGCGGGCGCGGAGAGCCCGGGCGGCGAGCGGGGCGACGCTGCGGCTTCGCCAGCCTGGTTTCATTTTCCACGGGCTTCGGTGGCCACGCAGGCTCTCCCGGGGCCCAGAGCCACTCACGCAGCCCCGCAAACGCTCGGATGCAAAAGTTATCCCGCGGCGGCTGCTACTCGCGGAGGGCTGGAGTCGCCCGAGAGGGGTGTGAGTGCGTTTGTAGCGGCATCTTAAAGGAGTCGCTTGCCTTTCCGGCTGGCTGTCCCCGGTCGTCTTCTGTCGCGCGTGCATGTGTGTGTCGGCGGGGATGGGTGTTGCGAGAAGGCTTGATGTGTTTATGGAAAGGAAGTTAACCCTGCTTTCGCGCCACTCCCCTACCCCAATTTCCTCGCCGCCTTGCAGAGCCACCCCCTCCCAAGCCCTCCCATCTCTGCAAACTGGGGAACCTGAGTCGCACAAACTCCCGGCCAGCTCCTGCTGGAAACTTCTTTCAGTGCGTGGAAGGGTGGGTAGGTGGGGGGCGAGGGGCCCAGGCACCGGCCTCGGGACCGTGTGGAGTCGAACCTCGCCCCCACCTTGGGCGGCGCGCGGGCTGGGGGAGCAAAGGCCGCGGACGGCGGGAAGAGGACCGCGGGCCCGCGGGGTCCTCCCGCTCCGGAGTGAGTTGTCTGTTCGGGCGGGGGGCGGCGGGGTCGCTGCTGGGGGCAGCGCGGAGGAAAAACGATGCAATCAATTCCCTGGAGCTTCGCTGGCGACTTTTAATTAAGGGAGGCGGTGCCGAATGAGGGGGGCACCTCAGTGCCGGGCGGGCCTTTATTAAAGACATAATTATTAATCGCCCCCGTGGCTTGCACGCAACTTTGCAAAGACAAAAAGCAGCCGCGGGGTTGCTCGGCTGGTGTCTGCAGCGCACTCGGTTTGCAGCCGGCCTGGAGCGCCGACTCGACCCGACCCGAGGCGTCTGCGGTCCGGGGCTAACCCCGCCCGCCCGCAGGCCCGCCGGGACCGACCAGCGCCGCCCCGGCCACCCCGCCCCCCGCGCCCAACTTTCCGGGGCTCCCGGGCCGCGGAGAGGGCGCCGGGGTGGGGGGACCCGGGGGGCAGAGGGAGCGGCCGTCCGGAGGGGGAGGGCACGGGGCGGCCGGCACCGGGACGCGCGCCGGGCCGGCGGGACCCCGCCCGGGGCGCAGGCCGGGAAGGTGACCCCGGCCGGACCGCGCTCCCCTTTTTCCTCCTCGCCCCCCGCACCACCCCGCGAAGGCGGCGTTCACCGCTCTCCCCTCCCCCCGGGCTGGGAGGGGCGGTGGGCGCTGCGTCCCCGGAGCCCGCGCCCTCCCTCCGGCCCGGCCGCGCCGCGGGCAAGTTTCCCGCGGGCGAGGGCGCGGCGGCAACTCCGAGCGGAGCCCGCCCGCGGGCACCGGCAGCTCCGAGAGGCGCTAATTCAATAAGACAGAGAAATCCGAGTTCAGAAATCCTGATAAAATCTAATTTTCGGGTTTTAATACCCTGGCTATCAGCCCCCTCGGTTCCTGAGGACTCTTAAAAGAGAATAAACGGTATTGATTCTATTTGTTTCTGGGAGCTGCAGTTTCTTAATAATATCAGGTGAAGATATATTTTCCACGGAGGAAACGATCCGCCGGGATACAACCTCTTACTCTGAAATTTCCCTGCCGGCTCCTCGCTCTGCTGTCCTCCCGGTCATTGCCGGGACTCTCGCCTCTCGCCCCACTCCTCTTTTTTCTTTTGGGCAAACCCGACTGTGATATTCGTGTGCTGAGCTCACAATTCCCACTACGATGCCAGCAACGCCCAATTGATTGACTGGTTGTAAACACATTTTTTTCCCCTGGCAGATTTTGTTGTTGTTGGCTTTTTTCCCCCCCTATTTTCCAGGGAATGCATGGCATTTAAGCCAACAGAACTGCAAAGCAATTAATAGATTTGCAAGTTGCGCCTCCTGGCCTCCGGCCTCCGTCCTGGCCTCGCTGCCTCCCGTGCTGCCTCCTCGCCCCAGGCCCCGTCCAGCGCCCTCCCGGGAGCGTGGCAGTTGGAGGCCGCCTGCAGCTGGACCCTGCTCCGCGCACACCACAGCCTGTGCCCTGGTTGTCCCAGCAGCCAGGAGCTCCTACCTGTTAGAGAACAGTTGGGAGGCGGCTGCTGTAGGAATTAATTAGGGACGTGCTGTTTTCTGGGCAGCGGAGCTTGGATAGAGGCATCCAAACCTTTGCCGGCCGCGCTATTTTATTTTTACTACATTTTCTCAGGTTGTAAAAATAGACGCCCGGCGTGTTCTTTCCGAGAGTTTTCTAGCAAGGAGCGCATTCAAGGCCGGGCAGGCTCCATAACAGATTTCTCTTTAAACAGCCAGAGGTGAGACGTCAAAATGTGGTCCTGGCCGGGCGCTCATTCATCTCCATCGGGAGCCCTCCTTCCAGAGCGAGGGACAGGGTGGCCTTAATGCAGATGGATGAGTCCGGGGCCTGGAGCCGGGGGTGCTGGCTGGGGACCTGTCTGCAGCCTGAGGTGCTGAGGGCAGCAAGTGCCCGCCCGCCCCTCAGGTTTGTGGCTTTCTTCGGCAGGAGGTTGTGTGTGTATGTGTGTGTGGGTGGGTGGGTGGAGAATGGGGTTGCATGGAAACACAGTTAACTCTTCAGGGACCTCCCATGCACAGTGGCTGAAGAGCATGGCAGGTGAGGGCCGGCTGAGATTTGGCACCAGTGCCTGGGCAGTTTGGGAATTCAAATGCAGTCATCACGGGCATAGTAACCAGAATAACCATGCAGGCACTCACACCGAAACTCACTGCGGCAACCCGTGTCCTATCCGCCAGGAGTTCTGGCCAGAATCCCACGTCGGCTGGACTCAAGTTCTGGTGACGTATGGAGTGTCTGGGGGCACACCACGTTACTGGAGCCATATATTTCCTAATGTCACATTCTTATTAGTTATATCTATTTTGGCTTTTAAATAGTTACAAGAGGTTTAAAAATAGTTAATCAATAATCATAATAATGCTTTTTTTATTAAAAAATTTTATTAAAAGATCCACTTATAAACATACCCTCTCACGATGATAACAAAATGTTGGCCTTGATCAGAAAATCTGATATAACAAAACATTGTTACTTCCATGGAAGTCTTCAATATCTCTAGTTTCTAACAGTGAAAAAAATTAAATTCTCCAGTTCAGACTGTGCCTGTGGTTGGGGAGATATTTATTGGTGCCTGGTTCTTAGCTGTTGGCCTGCACATGGGTCCCTCTGTCCATGTGCACCTGTCGTCACAGTCTCATCTCCGCCTGTAACAGCTTTGACATTTTGACTTGTCAGTCATGGTATTTTAAAGCAACCATTAAATCTTGGCTCCTGGGGATGCTTTAGAAAGTCTCTGACCCCCCAAGCAGGGGCACTTCTGCTGAACTAACACTCCTATAAATGAGAGAAAACGCATCACCTTTTAAATAACGTGCCCAATCTCCAAATGTGCAACTCTGATAGTAATAAAAATAACCTAGTTTTCTCGGGAGACCTTGCTAATGCAGCCTCATTTTTTTTTTCACATTTTGCTGGAGATCTTTTGTTCTTATCCATCTCTATTCTCCCCCCTTTTTAATTTGTTGCAGGTGTTGTTGCTAATGAGCTCTCTCTCCTCCCCTCTTGCATTGAAAGACAAGCCAGCCCCAGGTACCTGGATGGATTGAGAGCTGAAAGCTCAGAAACTTTATAATAAGTTGCTAGTGGCTACCAGCCAGGGTCAGCTGGCCCCCATTAGTACCTGTCCCCACCAGAGCAGACCAAATAACCTTCTCCACGGTTAACACCTCAGTAGCTTTGTTTTCCAGTCCAGTCGTGCAATTGTTGTCACTTTAAGGCCATATGAAAAGAAATCTCTTTTATTGGTCTGAGATGCCAAGTCCAGTCCCAGAGAGGGGACATTTTCCAGCTAACGTGTACACCTCCTGACGTTACTTTATCTTTACAACACAGGCTGGAGGGTTGTTTTCAGTCGTGTTGAGCGCACCACACATTAAGGGCACTTGAAAGACCCGGATTGATTGGAAGGACAGAAATTAAAGGCGATCTGACCCGGCCTCATGCCGGGTCCCTGCGGATTTTCTCCTTATCCCATTTCCACCCACCGTCACAATTTGAGAATCTGCCTGATTTGATCAGATTCACCTCCGGGAGAGGTGTGACGCCAAGGTTAGGAGGACGCAAAGTTATGGGCAACTTTTTGACCCGCCCATCAGCAGTCTGAGAAACGCTGGCTCTGAATTTTCTGTATCGGCCTTTCGGAAAAACAAGTTCCTTGCTGTTTGCAAACCTTCGGCGCTTGAGATCCTGGGACATCCCAGCCACCATCGTCTGGTAGATGTGGCCTTTCCATGCTGAGGCCGAGAGTCCCTCCTGACCCCGTGGCTGCCTCTCCAGGGCCTCTCTGGGCTGCGCCCCCGCGGCCCCTGCAGCCATGCTGCACCTGCTGGCTCTCTTCCTGCACTGCCTCCCGCTGGCCTCTGGGGACTACGACATCTGCAAATCCTGGGTGACCACGGACGAGGGCCCCACCTGGGAGTTCTATGCCTGCCAGCCCAAGGTGATGCGCCTGAAGGACTACGTCAAGGTGAAGGTGGAGCCCTCGGGCATCACATGCGGAGACCCCCCGGAGAGGTTCTGCTCCCACGTAAGTCCGCCCACTGCTGCTGTTCTATCTGCTCAGGCCAGGTGGGGGCGGGGGGGTGGGAACCGATGGCGGCCAGGGGGTGTGGTCTGCGATAGACCCTAGGGCTGGGTAAGCAGAGCGGGAGGACCGAGATGCAAGGCTAACCTCCCTGCATCTTGAACTGGGACCAGCTCTGGCAAATGTGTCAAGGCAAAGGCCACCCAGAGGACTCTGCGGTCATGTGACATCGTTCTCTGGGGTGGGGGCATCTTGGCCAGCTGACCACTAGATCATTTCCTCTGAGGAAGGCCGTAGGATTCGGCTCCCCAGCCTTGAGGGCGAGGCCCGCCGCCTGTAGGAAGTCGGAATTCTGGGCGAGCGGGCGAGATGCTGTCTGCAGCAGCGCACTGTCACCTCCCTCTGTTCATCGCTTCTGCCATGCGGCCTCCTAGTCCACCCAGTCCAATCAGCAGGCCGTGTTGTGAGACCACAGTGTGCCGAGCCCTGAGCTGGCTCTTTACAGAGGCGGGTTTGATGGCAGCTCAGAGGGGGTTCATGAAAGAGGGAGGTGGGGGTCAGGCTGGGGTAGACCACGCAGCGGGACCTCTCCAGTTCCATTGCTACACGCCAGGCCACGGGCACAGGCTATGGCGGGGAAAGGCAGGCGACAGGCATTGTCATTTGCATCCCTAGTTAGAGAAGGAGGGGTCCTAGAGCCGCGGAGTACTTCAGTACTCGAGTAATGCTAACAACAACAAAGTAATAGCCGCGGTCACCGAACGCAGGCTGTTCGAGGGTGGGCTGAGTGTGCTGTGTTGTCCCGTGAGTCTGCGTTGTGTAAAGTAGGAGCGCTAGGGTGGGGGCTCGGGACCAGCGATGTCGCCCAGTTTCTGTTGTCATCTGTAAAATGGGCACTCTGACAGCACACACTCATTGGAAAGAGTTTGTGGTTTGCTCACTACAGGTGAAGTGTTCAGACTAGGATCTGGCATAGAGCAAGGGCCCTGTCGATGTGAGCTGTTATCATTCTACTCATATAGATGGGGAAACTGAGGCAGTGGGGTGAAGGCCTTTGGCCAAGGTCATACACCAGGACGTGGTGAAGCTGTGATTCAAGCTTAGTGTGTCTGGCTCCAAAGTCACTGAGCTAAACGTCCCAGTTCAGCGCACTGGAGGCCCGCCCCTGGCAGGGCCGGGCAGAGCGGGGCAGCCGGGCCTTGGGAGTGGACAGGAGGAGGAGGTGACAGGAGGTCATCCTAGGGGCAGCCGGTGCCTCTGAGTGTCGCTGGGGGAGCCTCCAGGTCCTGGGTTTATGGCGAGGCTGGCCTGGCATCAGCTCCCCGGGCTCCTGAGGGCTCCATCCCATGGGGCAGCTTCAGTCATGTCACAGAGCAGTCAGCCCGCGAGGGTAGGTCCCCACGGTCAGTGGTGACAGGGCCGTCACTGGGGGTGGTGGCTGGGCTGGGCCCGCTGGGGAGGCGAGGAGGGGGCAGCATGGAGCCAGCAGTCGGGGCTGTATCGTCTCTGGGCCCCCTGCACTGGGGACCCCAGGGCAGCACTGGCTCGGGTGGGGGCCAAGGGGCTGGGCCCTGAGAGTCGGGTAAGGCTGGCGGGGTGGGGGGCAGTGCTGAGTCTGCACCTCCGCTCTTGCAAGGGCTTTTCTACACACTCCCCAGGTGGAGTCAACCTCAGCCTCTGACTGCATAGTCCCAGTGGTGTTTTTTTCCTTAAATATTCATCATTGCCTTAATGTGCTGGGGGGCGAGCAGTCAAATCACAGGACCAGCTTCAGGTCAAAGGCTTGAGGGAGGGAGACAACCATCACGTGGAAGGCCGAGGCCCTCTCTTGGCCAGGGCTGGCTCAGGATGTCCTTGGCCCTGGACCTCTGCCCCGCCCCCACCCTCAGACAGAGAGCCCAGCGCACCTGGCAGCTGCTGGCGGAGGTGGGCCTGAGCCCAGGTGGCTGTCCTTGAGCCCTGGGGTCTGGAAGGAGCTCCGTTCCCGCCCCACCCCATCTCCTCTCCTGGGAGGACAGGAGCAGAGGGCAGAGGAGGGAGAACGGCAACTCCGAGATCTCCCGCACGGGTGAGTCCTCAGCGTCTCGCCACCTGTTTGACGGACTTAAATATTTCATCACAGCTGCCACCAAGCTCTGCCTTTGATTACAAATGCGCGGCCAGCGAGGGTGGGGAACGCTGCCTCGGCAGGCGGAGGGCGGCTTTTTGGGGGGCCGGCTTTTGCAGGGGAGGGGGGATCACTTCCAGAGAGATCCTGGTTGCAACCCTGATGCCACCGTTTATTGCCACTTCCCTGGGCGTGTCCTGGGTGTGTCTCGTTTAATCACCTCTAGGATGCTCCTAGGTGGGTCCTGTTCTAATCCCATTTTAGGGATTAGAAAGGGTTGCCTAAATCCCGCCAAGGTCACCCAGTCTACAGGCAGGCGAGGGACTCGTCTGTGGCCAGGGCCCGTGCTGTTCCACCAGGCGGCACGGCCTCCCCTCCCAGCTGCTGCCCTCCCCGAGCTCCAGTGCCTCCCTCTGCCAAGCAGACACGATGCTGCGGGAGTGTCATCGTGCTGGGGGTGTGATGCGGCCCAGTGAGCGTGCCCTGGGTACACGCTGGCGCATAGTAGGTGCTCACCGCGCAGGGATTGGCTTGTGACTGTTGTTATCACTCCCTGGCTTCTCTTCCTTCCCCGGAGTTCTTTGCCCCTCTCCAGCCCGGAGGATGCCACGACTCGTGTTTCGAGCCTCTAGTGGGGCAGCAGGTGGAGGATGCTCTGGGAGCTCCGATCCTCCAGCCACAGCGGGTGGTGCTGACTGGCCACCAGGGGGCGCCCCAGTGGCGGCCAGAAGGCCCACTGACCCCCTAGCCATGCAGTGCCCAGGGGTCCCTGAGCCCTTGTGTCCCTCCTGCAGCAGGTGCTGGGCCCGTCCCAACATCCGGCCAACTGCCAACCACACCGTGAGCCCTGCAGTGCTCCCAGGGTACGAGAGGGGCTGAGGGGCAGATGCCCTCTCCAGATTCAGGGGGCAGACCCTCTCTCCGGGCTTCCTGTCCTTCGGCAAGGCCGCCTGAGAACTGAATTGTAAATTCCAGCCTGGCGAGGAAGGGGAGGAGGATGAAAGGCAAGATAAATGAATAAATAAAAACCCATTGGCTCTAAATGCACAATGAGAATTAATAGGGATGAGCTCTCAACCGAGGATTCTTGGGCAAGGGCAAAATTTCAATGAGGGCTGTAGGAGAAGAGAGGCAACTAAGTCCCCACCCCCAGTTCCCAGGACCGCCCTGGAGGCCAGCCTGGGGAGGCTGCAGGCCAAGGACAGGGGGGACCGGCAATGGGCAAAGGCTTCTCGACCCCTCGGAGGGCAGCTGCAGCCCCCAGGACCCCTTCTGGGTGGGGAGGGTCCCACGGTGCTCTGCAAGACGGGGCTCCCACTGCCGCCTGTGCTACCTGTGAGAGGAAGGGGAACCCTTTCTTTGTGCCGTGGAGACAAAAGCTGACCAGCTGCGACTCAGGAGAGAGATGGAGAAATAGCAGAGCATCCGAGAGAGCCGCTGCCCAGGCAGGGTGGGTGGTGTTTAGAGCAGTCCACAGCCTTGCTACCCGAATCGTGGTCCTTGGGCTAGCAGATCGGCCTAACCTTGTTAGGAGTGCAGATTCCCAGGCCCACCCCAGACCTGCTGAGCCAGAGTCTGCATTTTTAACGAGAAACCCAGGCAACTGGGATGCAGCAGGTCTGGTCCCTGGTGGTGGATGAAGCCTATTATTGATGGAGGTGCAGGAATCCTGCGGTTCCCTCGGGACCTTGCAGGTTAAGGGTTGGGGGAGAAAGGAGAAGAGAGCAGGAGGGGTACAGGGGGTCCTGGGAATGAGGGAATAGAGCTGGGAGCTGAGATTCCTAAATGCCGGCCTCCCTTGCCAAGGTGGGGGCCCCTGCTCCACCCACAGGACCTGGCGGAAGGCTCTAGAGAGAGGCGGCGCCACACCCTGGCAAGAGCTACAGGCCTGGGGTCTGAAGCCCTGGGCTCACATCCCAGCATTGTCACTCGTGGGCCTGGTGATCTGGGGCAAGTCGTTCAAATTCTCCAAGCCTCAGTTTCCCCATCCGTAAAAACGGATATGATCATGACTGCCTGGCCCACCTTGCCTACTTCCTGGGAGAAGGAAACACCCCCCTCTCGAAATATCTGGACAGGCGTAGCTAAGAGTGTAAGTTCTGTCCTAGCGCGAGGCTTGAATATGAAGTTTATCCGATGTTGATGGGCTTGTCCTTCCGCCGAGAGTCTGTCCCATCAGTCTTGTGATGTCTGTTTTAACAGCGCGGCTTCTCTAACTCCAGACGTCTGCTTCCCCCTGGACTGTGAGCTCCTCCGAGGCAGGGCTGCGCCCGGGTGTCTGCAGCCCCACACCTGCCCCTTGGCTCAGCGGGTGCCCAGCCAGCAGTTACTGACCCAAGGGGCGGATGGGAGGAAGGATGGTGAGATCCCGGAAGGCTTCCTGGAGGAGAACGGATCGGGGCTGAGTCTTGGAGGGAGAACTGGGGTTTTGAGGACAGGCCGGGCGCCGGAGGTCCGTGCTGCTCTCCCCTGCAGCCCCTGCTCTGTGGGATTTGCGATCTCATCAAGCCGGGAGGTTTGCACGGGTCTGTCTTTAAGTCAGTCGCAAGGGACTTTGGCGCCTGAGCTGCACTCGATCTCTCGAAACGCCCGGGGCAGGGCAGCCAAGGATGAGAATAGTTCCACGGGACGACATCTTGTTGCACAGCGAAGTCTCCCTCCTGGGGAGGAGACAGTGAGGAGACGGGACGGAGCTGCCGCCCAGGGCCGGGCCCGCGGGTGGGGTCCTGCGTCTGACGTCCATGAAGGGGTCAGAGTTGGGTCCAGACACCCCACGGAGGGCGGGGGCAGTGCAGTCGCGGTGCAGCGGGGAGTGAAAAGGCCTGGAGGGGACGTGTTTCCAAAGTGTCAGAGTCTAGACTTTCCTGGTTTACACATCGCACCTTTTCCCGCCTCA